ATTGAATTTTGAAATGTGCGGCCCCACAAGGAATTGTGCGGTACGCAGAAGTATAGATTAGGGAATTTGGCTTGGCAAGATTGTGCGGACCGCACTTAAAATTTTACGGTCCGTAGAAGTTCAACCGCGGCCGCAGAATAGTGTGTGCGGCCGCAGATTAGGACACTCTCTTCCTTCAGAGAGTTTCCATTTTTATGGTACCCACTGTGCAGTCGCACTCAAAAATGTGCGGACCACACTTCAGATGTGTGATCGCATTCAAAATTGTGCGCACCGCAGTTACATCACTACGGCCGCACTTTCAAATTGTGGGGTCTACATAACACAACTTGTGGCCGCACTTGTAATTGTGCGAACCGCACTTCCCCACCCTGAAACATGTTTTGTTCTTCAACTTTCTGCTTATTATTCACTTCAACTAGAACTAACACTTGATGTTGTTTGTTGCAGAGAATGGTTAGATCACGTGGTCGTGGTGATACATCAAAGGGTAGGGGTGAACCCTCCCGAGGCCAAGGCAAGAGTACCTTACCACTTGCCCTTCAAAGAGCTATAACTAAAACGGTGACAGCCGGCCATGGTAGAGCTGCAGAGCCCGCTGAATCAAGTTCTTATATCCCGCCTAGAGAAGCATCGGAGGGTGACTATGTGCAACAGCAGCCTACTATTCAATCACATCCACATCAGCTTCAGGATAGTTTCAACTCCGAGATGAACCTTCCACCTCAGAGAGCACTTCTGAGGGTTCGGAAGGTGACAGTCAAGCTTCAAAGCCCTTATCTACACGTTCCCCGGATGCACTAGCTACTATAGTGGATGTGGCTGATATCTCGGATGACGGCCGAGGGGGTGATACCAGAGGTCGAAGAAGAAAGAAATTTGGGAAGAGAGATTCGTCGGTTTGACTACATTCAATAGTTTCTAAGAGTGGTGGCCATCGAGATCGCTCACTCTTCAGTGTTAGTTCTTGTTGAAAGATCTTGATAAATACAACCTGGTGGTGTTGAGACAATTCCGGGAGCGGAAGGGGTGGACATGGTTCACTCTAAGTATGGTAGACGCCAAAGAGTACCTGGTCTGAGAATTTAAAGCCAATGTGGCACACATAAAGAAGGGGACCAAAGTGACGAAAGTGAGAAACTTAAAGGTGAGATTCGATCAGAACACCCTGAACACATATTTAGGGTTTAAGGATGTGGAACCTGTGCAATACCTAGAGAAGTTAGCACTAGGAGATGCAGCTCGCCCGTGGCTAGCTAAGATTCTTGCAGCTCCGAGGCTGCCTCCAGTATGCATCACAGCAGGGGTTCCTATTCAGCGAAACACCCTAAATATTGAGGAAAAGGGATGGCAGACGTTTGTGTGTAGCAGCGTAGACCCGTGCCAAAATGAAACGAATCTCCCGATTCCGCGGGCAGTGCTAGTCGTTTCTATCATGGCCGGGTAACAAATTAATGTGGGTGTCGTGATGTCAGCAAACATGTCTTTTGTTTCCAGGCAAGGTGACACCTCCTAATCGTATCCCAACACTATAATGGAGTACCTTACGGATGCAGGGGTGGAGCCGATGGATTTTGACACAAAGGTTCGGGCAAATACGCCTTTCACTTGGTATTCTCTGATGGGCCCGAGGAAACCAAAGAAAAAGGGTCAGCCGACTACTATCGTAGGCCAGTCGGATGAGCCTTTGGTGGTAGCTGCAGAGTCAGACACATGCCTTCACTACAGCAGTGCCTTCTACCAGTGCAGCTGCAATGCCTCAACCTCCTTCTTCAGGGCCTTCAGCATCAGGTCCCTCGACCTCGACTTTGAGGCCGTTGCCTATGCCCGCTTATCCACTATCTGCACTGCGAGTCTGCCAGAAACCGGTGAGAATCAACAACTGGATGCAGATAGCTAGTGTAAAGCTGTCTGACTTATCCACTGCTGTTGCAGCACAATCATCCACCCCAACACCCCAAATTCCTCCGGCAGTGGAGGATACATTGTAGATGATTTTGGAGAACCAACAAACCATCATAAATACTTTAGTAGCACATGGATCAGTGATTGGGGAGCTTGGGAAGCAAGTAAAGAAGATGATGAAATCCCAGGCATCCATGAAATCAGTAGACAAAGTGAGGAGAGAGGTGACCAAGATAGCAGCCGCTGGGGACCTTCAACTTGATATGCTGATGGAGACAGATCTAGCAGCACTAGTAGATCCAGTAGCACCATTGGCACTAGCTGGGTAGTATGAGGAGCCAGACCTGGCTGCCGACACTGCAGAGGTGGTGCGACAGATGTTCACAAACCCAACCACTCCTAAAGCCGAGGATGATGAGATCCAGTTAGAGGAGGCTGAGGGTGGTGACGGTGCTATGGACACACAGATGTCCAAGGACAGATAGGGAGTCATCTTTTTTTTGGTAATTAAATGATTTTATTTACCAAGTGTAAATATTTACAGCATAACAAAAAACTCTCACTGGACATGCAGCCCCAGTTAGGCTTTTACTACCCTTTCTACTTTTCTCCTTCCCTGTGATTTGTACTGTTACATTACATCAGGGAACCAATTCAAAGTGCTCGTCGTCCTTGCTAGCCTAGGAAACACGGTAGCTCTATCATGAATTTCCTGAATGATTGACCTAGTTATGGCTTTGGTTGGTCTATTCTTCTGTTGGAATATAGCATTATTCCTCTCTCGCCAAATATGGTAAATTGTTGATGCTAAGGACATTCTGCATAATTCTGCTCCTCCACTTCTACCTTTAGCTCTTCTTTCTATCCATGCCAGTTCTTCCTTCCATCCTAGCTTTGTCCTTTGAATTCCTTGCCATTTTAAGAGTTGCTGCCATATGGTTGCTGTCACCTCACATTCAAAAAATAGATGCTGCACAATTTCAGATTCTCTTTGACATAGTAAGCATGTGGTATCAATCTGTATCCCCCATCTTGCTAGCCTTTCTTTTGTTGCTAGCCTTTCCTGTATTGCCAATCTTAACATGAACTTCCACTTTGGTAATCCATAATTGTTGCATATTAACCTCCTCCATGGTACTTCCTGAAATTCCCCTTGCATAGCTTTGTATATGTGCTTTGTAGACAAATTTTCCATCTTTCTCACTTTCTCTTCTGTATATCCAGCAGTGTCAAAATACATCATTGCCTTGAATATCTGTTGTATGACCCATGATGCATTCTTTGGTGTTGTGTCCCCTACTGGTTTCCCCTTTATGTAATATATGTTGACCCATTGAACCCAGAGCTTGTCTTTCTTTTTGCATATATTCCATAGTAGCATACATATAGTTGCTTTATTCCATATCTCCACATTGATGAAGTTTAAGCCACCTGCTACCTTTGGACAGCATAGTTTTTCCTATGCAATGAGTGCCTTCTTTATAGGTTCTGCATTGCCTGACCATAAGAATCTTCTGCATATACTGTTGATAAACTGTATGATCTTCTTAGGTAGAATGAAAACCTGAGCCTAAAAGTTTTGGATTGCAACCAATACACTCTTAATTAACACTTCTCTTCCAGCATAGGATAGACACTTTGTTGTCCACCATTGTGTTCTACTCAGCATTCTGTCGATTAAAGGCTCACATTGGATTATTGATAGCTTTTTGGTACTCAGTGGTACCCCTAAATACCTGAAGGGTAGCTCTCCCTTAGTGTATCCCAACATGTCCATGATTTTCTTTTGAGTTATGAAATCCACTCCACCAAAGTATATGCAGCTCTTATTTGAGTTTGCTATTAGCCCTGATACTCTAGGGAAGATTTTGAATTGTTGGTGTAATGTCTGTACTGATTTTATGTCTCCCTACAAAAAAGTAGCAAATCATCTGCAAAACTTAAGTGCACTAAATTGACTTTAGCACACTTAGGGTGGTATTTGAAATCTTTCTCCTGCTTTAAGGATTGCAGCAGCCTACTCAGATAATCCATTGCCATCACAAACAGAACTGGTGAAAAAGGTTCACCTTGCCTCAATCCCTTCTTTGCCTCAAAAGGTTTTGTTGGTTGTCCATTGATTACTACAGTATAGGCTACTGTAGTTATACACTGCATTATCCATCTGACAAATTTCTCTAGGATCCCCAGCAGCTTCATCACTAGTTCAACATACACCCATTCCACCGAGTCATATGCTTTTTGCATATCAATTTTAAGCATGCATCTAGGTGATATGCTCTTTCTCCCATATCCTTTGATCAATTGATGGCCCATAATGATATTATCAGTAATCATCCTTCCTGGTACAAAAGTAGTTTGGCTATTAACTATGATATCTGGCATGATTTCATGTAGCCTTGCAGTTAAAATCTTTGATATGATCTTGTATAGGACTGTGCAATAAGATATAGGCGTGTACTCCTTGATGTTAGCTGGGTTCTTTACCTTAGGAATCAGAGTGATAGTTGTATAGTTTATAGCTTTACACATTTTAGTAGTTTTAAAAAACTCCAGCACTGCATCAGTGACTTCGTCTCCAAGTATGTTCCATGTCTTCTTGAAAAAATGGGAGTTATATCCATCACATCCTGGTGCCTTTCTATCATCAATGCCCTGTAATGCTTTTTGCACTTCCTCTTTTGTAATTAGTCTGATTAGCTGCATTTGTTGCTGTCTGTTCAAAGTGTGTCCATTCTGCATCACATCTGGATCAACTATTGGTAGTGTTGAGGCTGTTGTACCAAGTAGTTTTTTGTAAAAGCTTAGAATCTCCTCTTCTTCCTCCTTAGCACTTTGTAGAAGCTTTCCTGTGTTATCTATCAGTCTGCCTATGTGGTTTCTTGCCTACCTGTTTTTTGCACAAGCATGGAAGTATGCTGTGTTAGAGTCCCCTACTTTTAGCCATTTGATTCTTGCCTTCTGCTTCATAATGCTTTCCTCCACTTCCATCCATTTTGCCAGTTCAATTTTTGTCACCTTCTCTAATGCTATCATTTCATCATCAGTTTCCAGATATGCCATTCCCATTTGTATGTTCATCAACTTGTTCCTTGCTACTTGGATCTTTGGCCCCACACTGGTGTGTACTCCTCATTGTTTAATTGCTTCAGCTCTTTTTCCAGTTGTTTTAGCTTGTACCACACCTTCAGCATTGGATTCCCCTTATTTCCCTTCATCCAACATTCCCTAACAATGTCATCAAATTTATGGTGGGATGCTAAGCAATTAAAGAATTTCAATGGTCTTTTTCCCCTCTCTGTAGGTTCAGCAACAGTTACCATTAGTGGGCAGTGATCTGAGAAGCCTGGCTGCATAATAGTTCCCTCCATATTAGGCCATTTTTGTACCCACTCTGCATTAGCAAGTATTATGTCGATTCTACTATGGACATGGTTGTTTGTCCATGTGTAATTTCTCCCAATTGTTTTGAGTTCAGCTAGTCCAACATCAGCTATGAATCTTTTGAAATCTATCACTTCCCCCTCTCGGACTGGATTCCCCATCACTCTATTTTCTGTGGACAAGATGCTGTTAAAGTCTCCCATTGTTAAGTTTGGGTCTTGTATTCCACTCATAGTTCTCTCCGAATCAGTCCACAAACTCTTGCTATCTTGTATGCTATGTTTTCCATATACTGCAACAAATATGAACTTAGTGTTGCACTGCCTCAGAACCACCTGTCCTGCTATGTATTGTTCATGGATTTGTTTTACCTCAAACTCCGCCTTTGTTTGGTCCCAAATAATCCAAATCCTGCCACCAGGTGCCTCATCATAGTTTACAGTCCATTGCCAATTACCAAACACCTTCCTTATTATTGCTTCAGCTTTGTTGGCCTGCACTTTATTCTCCACTATAGCTATTAGTACTACATTATTCTCCCTACAAAAATTTTTTAGTGCTTTTTTCTTATAGACTTTATTCATACCCCTAACATTCCATGTTATAATATTCATCATGCTAAAGTATTTATGTTGAGATCCCTATCACCTTCATTTCTTCTTCTCTGCCCCCTTGTCCTATGTGCTTCAGACATCTGCACAATTTTTTGGGCTGTGTCAACTAAGGCTTTAAAAGCATTTCCAATGTATACTTCCTCCTCTCTGTTGATTTCCATTTCCTTCTTTGATGCTAATTTTCCTCTAGCAACCTGCCATTCTTCCTCTTTTCCTTGTTGCCTAGGCACAACTTCTCCATCTGGTTCAATTTGTTCCAGATATCTTCCATGAGCATCAATTTTGTCCACCTTAGGATCAAGGACCCTTATTATTCTCCACTCTTGCTTTAGCTTTTGATTATTCACCTGTTGTCCCTCCTCTTTGTCTGTCTTTGTTTATCATTACATGAGTGTCCAATTTGACAGCATAATTGGCAATACTGGGGCTTCCGATCATATTGTACTATCTGCTCAATCACCTTTCCTTTAGGATCATGAAGTTTTATTGATCCTGGTAAGGGTCTAGTAATGTCCATTTCTATTAATAACTGATAACATTTTCCTTTTTATTTTTGTTATGTATATATTCTTCTCTCCCTCTCTATTGATGTATATATTTTCTCTTTTCCTCTCTTATTATGTATATTGATTTATACTTTCAGTAGCTTGCTTTGTAGCTTATTTATTTTGTTTTCTTATTAGTCAATGTTTAATTCAGTAGCTTCTTGTTTAATCTAATAGCTTCGTTTTAATCTAGTAGTTTCTTTTTATGTTTAAGCGGACAATAAGTCTTTGGTTTTCTTAATGCCGTTGTTCTTTCCAAAGGTAGTTTTTGTGTGAACCGAGTGACTCTTCCCAACAATGGATGGCGTGACATCCTTCTTAAGGGATTGAGTCTGTTTTTGATGTTTAGGGAAGAATAATAGTAATTATGAATAAAAAACCTAATTGACTCAGACTCGAGGAGTCAAACATGCTTCGCTTGGTACCAACACACTTAACTACGTGCTTATGATTAAGAACAAGTTCTTGGAAAGAAATAGCTCTAGTTAGTGTCCTTCTGACTCTTTTGCTGACTTAAGCAATCATCGAGTGGTTTAGTCGAACCATTAGTGATTTTCAATCTTGAATATGGTCATTGTGGGCTCTCGACTCTATCCTGTTTAACAGACCAGCTGTGTGAGAGGTAAGATGTTTTTGTTGCAAGTTCAAGTACCCGTGCGAATGGTCTAGAACTTGCCCCGAATTTGTTTCTAGGCGAAATTTTATGTTTTGCCTGGCTTGAGAACTGATTGTAGGCCCTCCTCGACCCGCTTGAAATTTTCCATGTCCCACCAATGTTGTTATCCCTAGTCAACCCATTTGAGCCTAAAACGTTTCTCATTTGATAAATGTGTTACAAGCCTTTACCCATTTTGTAGTGACTCTCTCTTGGCACCCGAGCTTTGCTTAACACTCTTAAGAAGCAATTGGCTAAAACATAAGTTTAGGGGAGAGACGGGGAATTTGAAAAAGGTATCAAGGCACAAAAAAAGTAAATAAATGAAGAAAAGGAAAGGCAAGAAAGAGAAAGAATGAACAAAAAGAAAAAAATGCAAAGAAAGTAGAATAAGTTAGTAAGAAGTTAGTAAG